GGCTTCACCCTTCTCAAATGATAATGACATTGCCACTGTCAGAGAGAAGATAGATTAATAAAGCTGAAGAAATTGTTGATGTTGAGCACACCATCTAGTGAAAGAGTACATTGATGTGAAGAAACTGCTTAGAATAGAAACTTGCAACCCAAAAATGGGGAATACAGAATTGGCTATTCCAACAAATGAGGAAGAGAAACTCTTCCTAAAAAATAAAATGATGTCTACATATATTGAAATCAGTATAATATAATGTTGATATCTATTTTAAGTTTAAATATATGCAAGGGTAAATGCAGTCATCATGTAAGACTGCTGAAGTCACTAACGTAGCATAAGAATATTGTTATTGTAACTAGTGAAAACATGGAACCTTACTTGGAAATAAATTTTTCAGTAGTATTTTAGACTTTGAAGTGTAAATGTTGTCATAACACAAAACTCACTTTTAAAATGTTCCAAAGCTGCTTATGAAAAATACAAACATCACTTAAGAAGTCACTAACTTTAGTGAACAATATAAACACTAACATGACTTGTTAAATTTCACTAATCCGACTAAATTGAGATCCACTAACGTCACTTGAAAATTTACTAACTCAACTCAAGAAAACGGCTAATGTATATTGTGAAAATATGAAACCTCACTTAGTAATAGATTGTTTAAAAAAAGTGACTTGTTGAGATCCAGTAACAGCACTTAGGAATCTACAAACCCAACTTGAAAAAATGCCTAACATATATTGTAAAAATATGAAACTCTACCTGGAAGTAAATTATTTAAGAAAAAGTGATAGAGTATAGTTAGTAAGGAACATGAAAATTTTTGAGTTTTTTAGACTTTTGATCCAGTTAGTAAGGAACAAAGTATAGTTAAACTCATGTTTAAGTAAACCAAAACACATGTCCATGTTAAACAATCTATTTTCAAGTGGATTTTCGTATTTTTGCAATATACATTAGACATTTTTCCAAGTTAGGTTAATAGATTCTCAAGTGACGTTACTGGATCTCAATTTGGATAAGTCACTTTTTCTTAAACAATCTATTCCCAAGTAGGATTCATGTTTTCACAATATACGTTAGCCATTTTTCTAAGTTGAGTTAGTGAATTCTCAAGTGACGTTAGTGGATCCCAATTTAGTCGGGTTAGTGAAATTTAATAAGTCACGTTAGTGTTCATATTCTTTATTGAAGTTAGTGACTTTTGAAATGATGTTTGTATTTTCATAGGCAGTCTTGGAACATTTTAAAAATAAGTTTTATGTTATGACAACATTTACACTTTAAAGTCTAAAATACTGTGAAAAAACTATTCCTAAGTGAGATTTTATATTTTTACTAGTTACAATAGCAATATTCTTACGCTACGTTAGTGACTTTAATAGTCTTATGTGATAACAGCATTTACACTTGTACATATTTAAACCTGAAATAGATATTAGCATTGTATTATACTAATTTTAATACATGTAGATGTCATTTTTATTTTTTAGGGAGAGTTTCTTTTTCTCATTTGTTAGAATAACCAATCCTACATTCCCCATTTCTAAGTTGCAAGTTTCTATTCTAAGTAGTTTCTTCATAGCAATATGCTCTTTCACTCAATGGCATGCTCATCGTCGACAATTTCTTTAACTTTGTTAATCAATCTTCTCTCTGATAGTGGCAATGTTACTACCATTTGAGAAGGATGAAGCCGAGCAGGAAGAAAAAGTATGAAGCTCTGACAGAGATGAATGACAGCAAATCCTATATCTAGCATGGTGTGTTCACAACATTAGAGTTAATATGGAGACACTGAGGAATGACAAAGAACGAGAACAAAGGAGAACAAAAGAAGAAAGAAAGAGATGCTGAAACAGAGCAAGAAATGAGGCTGCGTGCATAGGTGTTTTGTTATTTTTTTCTTAGAGGCATTTAAGACCATCTACATTTTTTTAAATCCCAATGATACTTAATTGAGATTTTCATATTTCATGATCTTCAATTGGGATTAATGTCCTTAGGGGATCCTTAATTGTCATTTTCCCTTAAAAGAATTTCAGATACTTGTTCTTTGCGCTTCATCCAAACAAATCTATATGTATGGAACCAGTTTCAGTAGTCACTACCTAAATGAGAACTATATGAGATCTAGACTATCTGGATTTTAATATAGATGGTCCATATTAAAGTATTTTTTTTACTTTATTTTATATTTATTAAATTGAAAATGTATAAAAATTATAAATTTTTTGATAAATGTCTTAATCACTAATCAAGGGAGTACTTATTTAATTTGAATGGTCTAATTTAATATTAAAAATTTTAATAATTTTTATATATTGACTTTCTAAATATATTATGAACTGTGTATATTTAATATTAAATTTTCTTTTATGATTTTTTATATTTTTATTTTGATAAATATAAATATAAAAATTAAAATAATATCCTAACTAACACTTTTTTAAGAATTTTTTTTAAAAAATTTACAAGTCAAAAATTTTATACCTTTACCATTTAGCATAAATTTTGCATAGTCAATTTTTAAAAATTTTAATATTAAATTTGGACCATCTAAATTAAATTTAAACTAGATTAGTAATGAATATATTTATTAAAATTTTTATAATTTTTATCTTAATAAATATAAAATAAAAATGTAAATACATACTTTAAATCTAGATTATGTAAATTAAAAGTTATATGGTTGGGATCTTATCATCCTAATAAATACCATGGTTCTAGCTAGCATCGAAATTCCTACACGTACCTTCATCTTCGCCCCATTTCAACAAGAAAAAATGACAAAGAGGTCCTTTTAATTTAAGTTAGGTCCCAAGTATCAAACTTTATAAATTTGTAAATTCATTTTTCAATTTTATAATTGTATTGTGATGAATTTATAACTTATTTTTTAAATTTTAATATGGTTAAAGAATAAAAAAATTTATTTTCTCTATCAAAATTTAAAATACAAGTTACAAATTTATTACAACAGAATTGTAAAATTAAAAGATTGTGTTGTAAATTTTTAAAATTTAAAACTTAAGACTTAACTTAACAAGGACCTCAATGTCATTTTACTATTTCAACAAACATATGTGTACCTTCATCTTCGCCCCATGTCAACTTTATGAGTACATTGTTTCAAAAAGGCAAATTATATTTTGGAGAAGAAAGTTACTACTTTACTCCAATAGTCTTGCAACATGCATTGATGATCGCCAAGAAATGTGTGTTTATTTTTGTTTTTTGCTTTTTGCCAATCACGAAGAAACCAATGATAATAAGAACTTGGGAAATAAATATATTTTACAAGGGATGAAAGAATAGATCATTACATTTGACAAAGGAAGCTAATAAATATTCTAATGTATTTGTTCATGAGGCCTCCTAATAAAATCTAGATCTTATTATTTTTAATCATTAACTTAATTAGAATGGAGATCTTTTATGAAATCTAACAAGGGGTAATTTTTGTATCTCTCCTGCGAGGATTGTATTCAATATATATATATTTCAAGGTACTAACTAAATTTTTGATCAAAAAAAAGTTACTAACTAAATAAATATAACGGTGATAAATGCTCCTGTCACCTAGAATGGTTGATGGTTGGAATTTCAAATCTCATGTAGGCTGGACTCTATTTGGGTGTCTATTACTGGGATGAGATTTGAAGTAATCTAGATCTACATTATTATTATATATATTATATTTATTAAAATAAAATTTTAAAATATTTTTAAAATATTTTTTATTTTTAATATAGTTTAGATTTAATTTAATATTAAAATTTTTATAATTAATATCTATTGATTATTCAAATGTACTTTACACAGTTTAAATTAACACAAAATTAAATCTGAATTACACAGAGTATATTTGTATAGTTAATAAGCATAAAAATTTTAATATCAAATTAAACCCTTTAAATTAAATCTAAACTATATTAATAATAAAAATTTTATTAAACTTATTTTTATTTTTATTTGAATAAATATAAAATAAAAATATATAATAATAATTTAAATTTAGGTGGTCAACGCCCAAACTAAGTCCGGTGTAGATGGACTTTCTTAGTACTGGGCAAACAAGTTACGGGCGGGCTGGCAGTTTTGCGGGTTGGGTTGGGCTAGCCTGCCAGATGAAACGGGCTGGAAAATCTAACCCAACTCATTTTTCAGCGAGCTAGTCAAACCGCGGGTTAACTCACAAAAAATTATCAAATTTTTTTAATAATTTAAAATTTATACAATATAAATATATATTTATTTTATATTTTAAAGTAAATTATAAATTAAAAAACTTATAAATAAATAAAATAAATATAGAATTCAACCAAGCAAATTCATTTTGCTAGATTTTTATTATTAATTATTTTTTCACTTAGGTGTGGTATCTTTGTTACTAATAAAGAAAATTTGAATATAAACTCATATTATTTTTCTTAGTGAATTCATATCTATAATTTTAATCAATAAAATTTATGAGATTAATAAATAATATATATTCAAAACATTTCTATAAAAACTAATAAATTATCTTCATAAACTATAACAAAAATTTTATTTACAAATTATAAAAAGAATTTACACTATATTTTAAATGTAAAGAATATATTTAAAAGTCATAAATTATATATTTAAAAGATATTATCATTATTGTAAATTTATAAAAAGATATAATGTAATTAAAAAATTAAAAATTATTTTTTAAAAAATATTACTAGCCCACGAGCCAGCCCGTTTTAACCCGCTTTTTTTTGCGGGTTGGGCTAACCCAACCCGTTTTAAAAAACGGGTCAATTTTTTCAACCCAACTTGTTAAATTGTGCAGGTTAAATGGGCTAGCACGCGAGCTCAATCCGTTTTTCCGGCTCTAAACTTTCTACACCAGGAAGTCTGCTACCTCTAGCAAAAAAAAAAAAACAAAAAAAAAAAAAGAGAAAAAAAAAATTTACGAGTTATAAAATGTGCGCCAACACAATAATCCTCAATACGACCAAGGAAGCGGCGGCGCGGATCATCTCATCGGAGAGAACAACCGTGAGGTTTGGGCAAGAGGTTGTTTCCACTAGAGAAGATGCGCTTCAGATTCTTCTCAGGCTCAAGCGAACATTGGAATCAAAGTGGTACTCATTTTTCAAATCAATGGGATGGACAATGTCATTGTTTTCCTCAAACAAGGGCGCCGATCCAATCGACGAGTGCAGGGATAGCAAACTCGTCAATGGAGTTTCCCTGTTGCACTATCAGGAGTTTCGTTCTCGAAGAACTTGTCCCATCCCAAAAGTTCCATTGTCTCGAGGATTCGCTGCGAATCGTCCATCGACGGCGATGGAAGAGGTTAGACTTTTGAAATCCTTTAGCTTAATGACAATATATTATGGGCAATTCCTCTATGGTTAATTGAAAATTAGATTATTTAGTGGTCATTTTCACTATGCATTTTCTCTGCTTGATCCTAGTACTGATCGTAGCGGGTATTCAAAATTACAATCAAAGAAGACATGAATAAGATGTACAAAAGAGTGATTGGGTTGTCTTTGGATTAGGACACGATACATGCACCATGTGGTTCCTTCTAGTACAACCGTTCCTTTGATTAGTGAGAAGACTAATGACTAGTACTGCCAAGTGCCAACTCTAAATTTATTGAATAGTTTTTTCAAATTATATGAAATTTGGAACATTTCAATTTTATTATTTTTATCTGTCAATTGAAAAGGAAACTTCATATCTTGATCTTTCCATTGACTACCAAAAGACAGCGCATTATCATTAAATATAAGCAACCTAGTTTTCTTGGTCGTATTTGGAAAAGTAAATTCAACGGTTTTGCAAAGTTCAATTTTGCCCCCAAAAAACGAAGAGTTTTGTCGCTTCCAATTAGAGGTAGGATTAAGCCTCGTAAAAATCCTAGTCATTACAGTGGACGTCTGTTCATCTCACTCCTGCAAATCTGCCAGCCGGGAACCACCTAGTCACCCAGAAGTTAATCAGGTACGAAGCAATATCTCTCATCTGAATAAAAAGCCGATTTCCCTCTTTTATTCTTTCTTTTTTCTTTAATAATGTTTCTATTTGTTCTATGCATGAGGATCTATCTGCGATCACTCTTAATTGTTTTGTGGCTGTCCCTTACAGAGCACACCTTTTCTCGTCGTTTTTTTATCTTTGCATAGATATGCCAGAGAAAACACAGCGTTAAAACAGTGAATTTAGTTGATCTAATGGCTAAATATAACTAAGAAAATTAGATTCCAGGGCAAGAAAGTTACAGGAGCAGTTGATATTTCTTATTTTCCTTTGGGCATAAAAACTCACGCCTTTCATCTTGATAATATCTTTATGAAGGAATAAGTTTGCAAGATGCTTCTATTCTACCAAATGGAATTATAAGTTAATCATTTGATGACGATGAATGATTGTCCTTTTAGGTTGCTATCAATATTAAATGGCAGAAGTGGGATTATCAATAGCAGCAAAACTTGCTGAATACTTGGTGAATCCAACATTACAGCAATTGCAATATTTGTTTTGTGTCGGCAAAATAAGCAGAAATGCTGAGACCAGAAAGGAGGGTCTGATTCTCAAGCAAGGGAGGGTGCAAGAACGTGTTGAAGAGGCCATTAATAAGACTGAGAGAATTGATAATGATGTTAAGAAGTGGAAGAATGAGGTTAAGATCCTTATAGCAGAGGTTGAGAACTTAGAGGAAGAATTGAGGGCCAACAATTGCTGCTTTCAAAAGTGGTGTCCTATGTGGAGGAGATATTGTCTCTGCAAAAAATTGACAAAAACAACTCAAAGGATGATACAACTAGACGCAGAGAGTGATAAGTTTAACCCATTTTCCCATCCTATTGTCATTCCTGTTATAGATCTTCACTCTTCTAAAAATTTTATACTCTTCGGGTCTACAAAACTGGCTTCTGATCAGTTGTGGAAGGCATTGCAAGATGATGGTGCCTTTATAATTGGGCTATTTGGTATGGGGGGCTCAGGCAAAACAATGTTGGTGAAAGAACTGGGGAAAAAAGCCAAGGCTTTGAAGCTTTTTGATCGAGTTGTTTTTACTACAGTTTCCCAAAGCACAGATATAAGGAAAATTCAGGGTGAAATTGCTGACTCGTTGGGACTCAAATTGGATGAAGAATCTGAAATGGGAAGGGCAAGAAGAATTGCACTAAGATTTCAAAGTTCAGGGGAACGTGTTTTGATGATATTGGATGATGTATGGGCTAAGCTAAATCTTGAAGATGTAGGGAATCCACATGGGGGAAGTCATCAAAGTAGCTGTAAAGTTCTCATAACCATACGCCGCCAAGAAGTATGCACTTTGATGGATTGTCAAAAGACAATTCCATTGCATCTGTTGACAAAAAATGAAGCTTGGATTCTGTTCCAAACTCATGCTAATGTGGATGATAGTGCTAGAGAAGTGGCACAAGAAATTGCTAAAGAATGTAAAGGACTGCCCATTGCAATTGAAGCTGTGGGGCTTTGCTTGAAAGGAAAAGGACTTGATGAGATGAATGCAGTGTTACATAGGTTAAGGCATTCAAAACCAATAAATATGGATGAGGGTGTAAGGGATGCTTTTTCTTGTCTCAAACTAAGCTATGATTATTTGAGAATCCCTGAAGCAAAATTGTTGTTCTTAGTGTGTGCTATATTTCCTGAAGATCATAAAATTATTATCGAAGATATTTTGAGATATGGAGTAGGGTTGGGCTTGTGTAGACATGCAGACTCTTTTGAAGTAGCTAGGAGCCAAGTTAGAGTGGCACTTAATATTCTCGTTGACTCTTCTTTGTTGACTTATTCTCAAAATGTTTGGAAGCAAGAATGCTTGACAATGCATGACATGGTTCGTGATGTAGCTTTATGGATCGCATCCAAAGAGGATTGTACCATTATGGTAAATTGTGCAAAAGAACTAGATGAATTGCTTGGGGATGAAGCAGTTAAAGATTGCTATGCAGTATCTTCATGGCATGAAGACAAAAAATTATGTCAATTTCCTTCTCAATTGGATGCTCCAAAGCTTGAGATTCTATTGTTAAATTCAACAAAGCCCTTGGATCTATCTCTTGCATCATTTGAAGGTTTAGAAGAACTCAAGGTTGTAGCTATGATTCATGACGGGCCTCTCCCTCAGAAGGAACTGCAACCTCAATCAATGCAATGGTTGTCTAATCTTCAAACTTTGCGGTTGCAAAAATGGGATTTAGGTGACATCTCTTTTGTGGTAAGATTAAGGAAACTTGAAATTCTTGACTTATGTGGTAGTAAGTTCAAAAAACTGCCAAGTGGAATTGAAAATCTAAACCAATTGAAATTGCTAGATTTGTCAATGTGTGAAGCAGAGGAGTGTTGTTGTGAAGTAATTGGAAGGTGTTCACAAATAGAAGAATTGTATGCTTCTAGGAATTTCCTGCACATGGGAAACACAAATTGTTATGAATGCCTTGTGGATATACCTGCTGTTCCAAAATTGAGGAGGTATATATTAGAAATGGGGCAGTGCAAATGTCCAAAAATTTGGACTAAAGGCAGGAGAGTTTTATACTTGGGACAACTAAATATCTTTATCTCTAGTGCATTAATCAGGAGTTTGGGGCAAAAAGCAACTGCAATTGAATTTTATGATCTACAAGAAGGCTGCAAAAGTTTCATCCCAGATGTAGTTCAAGCCATAGGGGGTATGAATGAATTAACTAAACTCCACCTTAATAGCTGTTCGGAGATAGAATGGCTTATCAATGAAACTACTACTCATGAAGATGTTGTTGTCCCCAGATTGGCTGAGTTGGAGCTGGTTCATATGGATAATCTAAGACAGCTATGTCATGGCCCTTCTTATCTTAACTTATTCCAAAATCTTGAAAGTCTAAACATAGACAATTGCCCTCAGTTGCTCAACATGTTTCCTGCTGATTGCAACTTAGGCAACCTTAAGAAGCTCCGGATTTCAAACTGTCCAATGTTAATCCTCTTCCATGTATCTGTTGCCTGCACTCTGCTTTCACTAAGAGAACTCAGCATACATAGTTGCCTTCAGTTACACAACATGTTTCCTGCTCATTGCAGCTTAGACAACCTTAAGTTCCTCCAAATTTTCAATTGTCCAATGTTGACATCTCTCTTCCCTGTCTCTGTTGCTTGCTCTCTGTTATCTCTGGAAGAGCTCAGAATAGAAAAATGCTGTAAATTGAAGAGTGTGATAGATGGAGAAGGTGGCAATAATGATTGGGAGAATCCAAGATTTCCAAAATGGGAAATTCTATCTGTTACTGATTGTTACCAATTAGAATCTGTATGTCCAATCTCTTGTGCTGAAGGGTTTGTGCAATTGAAACATCTAATCATAAAAGATGCTCTACTGTTGAAAGTTATATTTGGTGAAGAACAGTCAATATATGATCAAAATGGGACCCAGGGAATGCTTCCTCTTTTGGAAAATCTCATGCTGAAAGACCTCCCAAATCTTCTCAGAATTTGCTCAAAAGGCTATCATCCAATGTGGCCGTCTATAAAAAAAGTAGACTGGATAAACTGTCCGAGATTGAATATTCCACGTGATTCTCTCATTATTGGTTCAGAACTAAGGCAGCCACAACCAAATAGAGTATGCACTTGCTCTCTCATGCTTTCATTTGATTTGCAAAAAGAAGAATACAAACAAATGAAGTTAAATTTATAAATATCTTAGTTCATGTAATTGATTTTTTCAGTATGAGTGTAATAGCAAGTAGTTCTTCATGCAAATACATACAAACCGAACACCTACTCAATTAATGCCTCTTCAGATTTTGTAATTCAAAATAAAGCAGAAACCAAAAAAGTCACATAAAAATAATAATCAAACTAACAGCACTTGAATTTATGATTTTTTAACCCCACTTCCTTATATATGCAGGGCTATTTTTTATTTGCTATTTTTACCCATACAGTGATAGATTGTGTCTCTAGACAAATAACACGTGGATTATTAAGTTTTAACAACCCCCACGTAACTATACTTCAAGAATATCTGAACGTGCTTTCAGTGCCTTTTTTCTTAAATGAAGTATGTTAATAGTTTCTTTTTCTTTTCTTCCCTTTATTTCTCTCTCACATAGGAATTGCATGCCCTTGGTGGCCATCAATTGAGAAATGAAGAGCCCGAGCCATTAGCAGCTGTTTCAAATATAGAGAGCATTAACCTTTGGAATTGCAGGGTAGTATCCCTATTCTACTGTCACAGTGGGGTTGAAGTTCCAAAGACTACAACATCCAATGGTCTCAATCTCATCCAACAAATTCCGATATTCCAATGCCTTAAAAAATTATCTGTGAATAACTGTGAAAAATTGAAATCTCTTTTCTCTGCTAGTACCTATCAAAGCCTTCCAGAGTTAACTTTTGTAACCATATCAAACTGTTGGGAATTGGAGGAAATCTTTGTAGAAAATGAACAAATTCAGAAGAAATTATCCAAAGCCCACTCTTGTTTACCAAAATTGCAGAGTTTAAGCATCAGCAGGTGCAACAAGCTAAGAATAATTTTCTCTGCTGTTATCTGTCAAAGCCTTCCAGAGCTGACTTTTGTGACCATATCTGACTGTGTGGAGTTGGAGGAAATTTTTGGAGAAAATGAACAAATTCAGAAGAAGCTATCCAAAGCCCACCCTTGTTTGCCAAAATTGCAGAGTTTAAGCATCAGCAAATGCTACAAGCTAAGAAGAATATTCTCTGCTGGTATCTGTCAAAGCCTTCCAGAATTAACTCATGTATACATATGGCAGTGTAAGGCATTGGAAGAAATTTTCACAAGGAATGAAGAAACTCAGAAGAATCTATCCATAGTCCAAGCTTTTCTCCCAAAGCTGCAGACGTTGGAAATCTGCAACTGCAATAAGCTGAAAATCATATTCTCCGTCATGACCAGATGCTCAAATATTGAAGATCATGACATCGACAGTGAAAAGGAGATTATGTTCCCAAACTTGAAACATATAGCACTTTACAAGTTACCAAGACTTGTTAATGTCTGCCAAGGATTTAAATTGCACATAGTGGAGTTTTGCAAAGTGCTGGTTCATGAATGCCCAAAATTTGTGCCATTTGTCGGTGCAAGTATTGCATGGAATCATGAAGTAAGTAATATTCTTCATTTGTGGTTCTCAGTGCTTCCTTCCATACTGCAAATCTTTTCAGTGTTTTAGTCTGCAATATTTACTTGATGCTATGTGAATAATTCACGCTTCTAATTTTTTAACTTGTTTCTGTCTTTTAATTTCCCCTTTGTATATTTAAGCTCATTAACCTTGGTGCAATGACTATTATATTTTACATGCATATCAGCATACGCACTAGATATCTCCATGCACAAAAGTTAGAAAGCAAATATGATCTCGCATTTAATACAATATTCCTTTCTAGTTCTTTATATGTGATACAAATAGTGGTCTGGAAATTATTCCCTGATGATATCATGAAGAACTTACATGAGAATTTTAAACAAGATGAGAAATATATGATAGGAGACAAATTGCTAAGATAAAAGGATCAGATCCCCGATCGTATGCCTATTTCCTTAGGTCAGCTATTAATTACATGATCAACTAATTATTACACTACAATGTCTAATATGATCTGAAATTAATGATAATATGTTCTAACAATATGCATCGCATTTTCACATATTTTTTTATTTAATTTTTTTGATATAATTTTTATATACATAATCAACTAGTGACCGTTGTGGTGCTACCAAATATAAGGTTTCAGTTGTTCTTATACTATTTGATATGATAATAATAATTCTCACAATAGGAGCTCAAGGTCATGAGATTTTTTTTATGCATTATATATTATCCTGTTTTTTAGCATGATTCTAGCATGGTATAGACAAAGCAAGTCACGGAGACATCTTTTATTCCTACATTCTAATTTATGTGTCTTACTCCAATTGTCAAATAAAAGATGTTATTTATCTACCCTTTGATCATTAATCATATGATGTGATAGAGTAAAACATTGAAGAAGCATTTGATATAACAAAGCTGATAAGTCTCATCCAGTTGTGAAAATTTTGGTTATATTTTTTGATTTAATCTTCTATTCTTTGTGTGATTTTCCAAAGGAACTCAGACTCTACTTTTTGTGACCAATTCTTTCACCTCTCTATTATACAGGGACTTGTTAGGACGTTTGTCTTGAAATGCAGCCAATTAAGCAATAATACAACTCTCTCAATACCAGTTTCTATTTTTAACTCCGAAGAACTTGATATTGAAAGTTCTAGAGTTCTAGACTTTTGTAAAGTAATTGGTGGTGGTGATGATTATAATGAACCACGTGAAGGCAGAGAGATGTTGAGGTATGAACATCAAATGCTAAAAGGTCTTGTTCCAACCCAAGTTTTGAGCTTCCAATGTCTTCATTCTTTAATGGTGATTGGATGTCAAAAGTTGAAGTTCTTATTCTCAACAAGCACCATTCTTCACAACAGCCTTCCCAAATTAACTTTCCTAACTTTATCTGGTTGTGATGATTTGGAGGAACTAATTGGGGACAACGATGAACCTCAGAACATGTCTAATGTTCAGCTTTGCTTCCCAAAACTAAGAGAGTTAGAGGTTAAGAGGTGCAGCAAGCTCAAAAGACTCTTTCCTTCAATTGAGATTGCACTTCCAAAGCTGAGAATACTTGTACTTGAAGGTCTACCCGCCATCATTGACATTTGTGGAAGTTTTCCCTTTCAGTTGCAGACTCAGTCTTTATTGTTCTTCAAAGTTAGGATTGTCCCATTTTCTCCAAAACCACACATGCTGCTCTGAACAACCTTTTGCTTGAAGGAAACCCAGGTTTATATTTACACAAGTCATATACACACTCGTTTGATTTAAGATATTTCTTCTAATTTTATATTTCCATTTGTGGGTTAATATTCTTTGTAATGCACAACATTGAATCGTTGATGCCGGAAACATGGAACTATATTGCATTCTTATTACTTCGTGGTAACTTTGTTTTGTTCTACATGCATGTCAGTTATTTTGGAATTCATACTTGCATTAGTTTCTTAGTGAATTCATTTTCATTTATTTGAGAAAAGTATATTTTATGCATCATCAGCTTTTGAATAATTTTTTGGCAACATTTTTTTCACTAAATTTGATTGGATTGGTGTCTTGATGTTTTTGAAATAAAGTTCATTCAAGTAGGATCTTACAATGAGTTTTGGTTTCTCCTTTGGCGTTCTTCCTCTTGCAACTTCTATTATAGATTGAATTTGCATTCCCCCCCCCCCCTGTTTATACAGATGAATACCAAGAAGGTGAAGAGACACATGATCATGATGGTTTTCGTTTTTCTTATTACGATGTTGATGAATACCATTTTCTGATGGAACAGTGGCCATAGTGGGCACAAATATATGCAGGTTCTGAAAGGTATTGGTCTCCACTCTCTCTTAGCCTTAAAGATTGTATTTACTCTCTAGTTCCAAGCAATTTGATTTAATACACACACACACATTATTTGAATGATTTTGAATTTAATACTTATTTCGGTTCATTGATTGTATAAACTAATATTGCTCTATGGGGTTGATATGACAGCTTTGCCTGTTTGAATTCTTTGCTTCCACTATGGAATAGTGTAACATCTTAATTTTGACTATAAAATTTTAATTGACATTAGAGATTGATTTACTGAGTAAAATTTGAAGGTGATTAATATTTACTAATATTGATTTGAATTCGATGGGATTATTTCATAGTAATTAGAATTTACTAGATAATCATTTAAGGAAAGAAAATTTATCCAAAAAGTTAAATTTTAAAGATATGGTACCAAGCAATGATCTTTAGAAAAAAGAGAAAAAATAATAAGATTAAATGTGATTAAACAAAATTATGTAAATTAGTTTTCCTACTTGGCAGATCATAATTATTTAAATGTTAATGGAAATTTATATTTGAGCAAAATATAAAAGTTCACTTTATTCATTTACATTTTATGCGAATCTTGGAATATTATAGAAAATTATGAAACATGATTTGAGGATTTGAGATCATGACACAAGATTTTTTTTAAAAAAAAGTAAATAAAATTCATATAATAAATTAAGAAAAGGAAAAGAATAATAAAGGAGAAGAAGAATCAGATGTGGAAAGAAAAGAAAATTTAAAAAGAGGATGTAGGGCCCACGTCCCATAAGACATTCGCACCCCAATTTTAATCACACTTCTCCCTCCAGTGTTATCAGCCCTTCTCAAGAGCGTATGAGTGAACCCGTGTCATGCCCCAAAAAATAGGTGATCGGTAGAAAATGTGAACCGTATCAGAAATTCTTTTTTTTTTTAAATTGATAAATTATTTCATTTTTAAAAATAATAGTTTTTACATCAAATTTATGACATCATTAATAATATTTATTATAAAAAAATTTAATATTTTTATAGAATTTTCAGCAAAATTTTTCTTGAAAATAGAATTTTTCAAAATTGCTACAATAAAAAAATATTACACTGCATTTAATAATTTTGAGCTACGCTTTCCAGAAGGTTAGCCAAAAAATAAAAATAAAATCAGGATTGTAATAACCAAGAAATTTAGTAATTTTTAAAGTATTAAATTAAATAATTAATTGATTGAATAAATCAAAAATTTGAAAAAAAAAAAGGCTTGCAAAAGTTTGGGAAAAAAAATGCAAGAAGAGGGGTAATGTAATGATCCTAAAAATAATAATAATATTATTAATATTTGTGATAATACATTTGGGTTATATTTTTCTTTAATTTTTGAGCAGATAAAGGAAAGAACAGGTGGCGCAAAGGAACTTATGAATGTTGTATATTTACTTGTTGAGTTCCATTTCCCCCCCTGCCACGCGGAAGATTTTATTTCGATCTAACACTGTGAAATTACTAAAACGCCCCTGTGGGGAAAAAGAAACACATACGCCAATAAGCCACATGACATCAGATTTTTTTCCCACTCTCTTCCCCATTTCCATTTCTTCGTGCGCAATCCAGAGAGAGGAGGGAGCTTCAAGCAAAACTCTCTCTCTCTATTCCCTTTCCCTTTCGACGCCGACGAGAGAGAGAGAGAGTGGGTGTTTGGCGATTCATCTCTTCCTTTGTTCGCGTCATTGCTTTTCTTGTTCCTTTCATGATTATCGCGTCATTAACGAAATCCCACTCAAGTTATGGGGAAAGATTTCTGGGTCTTTTTATGAACTTACTAGGCATTGTTCCATTTATGTCTATGGTGTCAAATTTCTGGTTTAGTCATTTTAATTGATAATTTAAGACTGTTTATGTTGTGAACAAATGCGTTTTGCGTTTAAATATCAATTATTAACTGTTAATTGAACACTGCATGCTAGCTGTTTGCATTTTTATTAATGGAAGAAAATTATAGAAAAAGTAATAAAAGTTTATCTAAATGTGAAATCTGAAAACTATTATAGGTAGAACGATTAATTGTTTTGTGATGGAAGACTAAATAAATTTTTGGGAGTTATGTGGTTCATAATTTAGAAACTATGGTGTTGATACATGATTTGATTTTATGGTGTACATGAGGTATTCATTGAAATGTTTGATAGGAGAATTTTAGTCTATGTAAGTAAATAAATATGAGAAAAGCATCATTACTGACTAAATTATTATTGTAGATAATTATTCTCTATAGTGAAAGATTGGAAATGAAGATAGAAATTTTGTAAAAAGGTATTTGTTCAATAAGTCTATGGCCAACTTTGTTGTTCTCGTGTTAGCTTTTGGTACATATAAAGTGTCTGATAAAATGTTGGAGTGATGAAGGTTTATGAAAATTGAATATACGTGAATGGTAATGTTGATTAAATCATAGTAGTTGTTTATTTTCTATAAGAAGACTAAAAACTTTGAATATTATTATATATGTTTTGGTTGAGATTTCTTTTTCCAATGCTCTAAATTTGTTTGAACTGAAAATTTAGATTTGTAAAGTGTGTAAAAAAAAAATAACAATAATGTCCCTTTTGGGCATTAGGGAATTAAGATGTAGACAATATTATAAAAGCGGCTAATAAAGAGTGAGTTATATATTTGGGAATGTCTCGAATAAGTGAATAGCATACAAAATGACTTACTAGTAAATTTATTTTTTTTCACAACAATGTTTAAGTACAATCATGACTATTTATATAGTTATATTTCAAATTTCGTTATCAACTATCAGGAATAAAAATGATTCTGTTGTTTAAAGTTGTGTAGGAAAAGTTAGAATTATTTTACTATTAGGTATTTATGATTATTTAATATATTGGCAATATTTAATTTTATATGGTTTAAGGAATGATTTCTTGTTATGACTCATGCATGCTTGATTTAAAATGTGGGACTGAGTTAAAATGTTAGTTATTAACGGTAATTTCATTAGTCCTTGACGCCCCATGATACACCTAACTAGCAGGTATTTATAAGAGGTGTTAGTTTCATGCATAGGCAACAAACGTGGAACAGAGGGATGGATATTTGTAAATATTATACTCACGCTTGTTTCGTGGCTTTTCAGTCACGCTTGATTAATTATTTACTTCGTAGATTGTGTATCAATGCTCATTTGTTATTTGCCCTTGTGAATTGTGTGTCCGTGCTTGTTATTTGTTCTGATGAAGTTCTACTAAAGAATATTTAAAAAAATGTTTTTAAACTAATTTTATTAAACAAGTTGATTTTTATGAGTGGATTTTTTATACAACGAGAGATGCATTTGCTATTTGTTTGACACGAGCTTGATAGTTAGATAGTGAAATTTGATTATTGTGTCATCATCATATGAAGAGGATTTTGGGTCAATTGTTTAAATAAAAATTATTTTATTTATCTACTCTTGCTATTCTAAATGATTATTTTAGTTAAATTCTTACTTATTCCATTTATATTTCTTCATTTTATTTCCTTATGTTTTAAATTTGGGACGTTATTCATTAGGAAAAATGTTTTTGCTCTCAAAAAATATAGTTCAATCTGTATTTCGAGGGTGTTTATTGAAGGGATTTATTGCTGAAATGAGGTGCAAGAATTATTTTAAGAAAAATCTCAACTTAATATAAATTTGGACTTATGTTTTAATTTTGTAGTTTCATCCTAGATATTCCATATGGGCTATAGCAGAATTCATAGTTCTCTAAAGGATTGTATATTTGTTGGTAAAGATTGGAGTTTCTTTGT